CCGACGCCTCATCCGCAGGCGCCGCTAAGGCCCCGACTTTGGTGGTGGTCTCCGGCGTGCCGGCGGAGTGCTCCGTGCTGGACCTTAAATCTAGGTTCGAGATGTACGGGCCCATATCTCGGACCCGAATTGAGCCTAATGGAGTCGCTTACGTCAAATTCAGAACCAGCGATGCGGCCCGATCCGCCGTCGACGCGGCCCGGGATTCCAGTTTTCCGGTTACCATACACTCCGTTCCAGTATGCTCCATTTCTCGATTCTTACTTTATATGCCTTAACATTTTCTGCCTGCCTGTGTGTTCGATCTGTTAATCAAATCCTGCTGTTGACTTGGTTCGGGCCTGTTTTCAGCCTTGGGATTCCGGCCCGATCTTCAAGGTGTCTATAGACTATATAGCTATCAAATTTGGCTTGTAGAAAGTGCAATTTTCGCAGAGGTCGAGTATGAACCCTAATTACACTGTACTGTGCTTGAGTTAATCAATTGAAGTTGATTTGAGCTAAGATCAAACACACCAAATAAAAAATTTTCTGTTTGGTAGATATTTGAAAACCAGATTCAGCTCAACTTGAATTGCGATGAAGCATTAAATGTGCAAAAGGGTCTACAAAACTTGACAAAATTATATTAGGGAATTTTTTTTTGACCAACCTGAACTTTAGGGCCTTTTTGCTTTGCAACCTGATCATTTATTTTTTATAAATTGCAACCACAACTATACGTTATTGATAAATACCAACCTCGGCCACTGAAACAGTGGAGCTTAAGGGTAAAATTGTAATCTTATATCATATCATACTATTAAAATACCATCCCTCTCCAATTTCTTCAATCTCAAATCCCGATTTCCCCAATTTCGCAATTTCACAAACCTAAATCTTTGATTCTTCAGCGAAATGGTTTGGAAAATTCGTGAGCAACGCACGACTATCACAACTAATAGATTCTTTCTAGATTACGGTAAGTTTTCTGCACTTAATTTATTACACAATGTTGACACTTTTTGGGATGGTTTAGAGATTTGATGTTTTCGGTTTATTTTTTCCGTAACAACAAAATCTTTCCACAATATGCTCAGTTGTTTGCCTCCACTCCATTTGAACAATTAAGGGTTAAGGTTCTTATGCAATTTGCTTACAAAAGTTGCCAGCTCCGCCGCTTAAGGAGTTTTCCGGCCAATTTCGATGGCCGAGGTTGGTATTTATCAATAACGTATAGTTGAGGTTGCAATTTATCAAAAATAGAAGGTTAGGTTGCAAAGCCAAAAAGGCCCTAAAGTTCAGGTTGGTCAAATTTTTTTTCCCAATATATTAACAAAAAAAAAGGAGCTTGGATGGGTTCATGTTTTGGTTTTATGCGATGAATGTGAAAAATGTTGAACAATTGTGTTCTTGTTTGTTGTACCTTGAAGGTACAAGTAGCATGGGCAAGTGACCCGGTTATACAATGGAAGGGAGGAATTAGCACGAAGGAGGGTTTATCATCGAGGCTCGTACGGGCGCAAGTGCCTCTGAGGAGGCTCGGGAGAGGTAATCGGCTGGGGTCAGCTATTGTCAACCCTCAAGATGAGAATATTGATAATGAACATGTTGAAGGCAATGAGAATAAAATTGGCGATGCAGACAATGATGTTATTAAGCTTAGTGGTCCGGCTTTGGAGGGGCCTTTCGAGGGAAGGGAAATTGTGGCGTATGATGATATTTTGTAAATCTTTTTCGTGTTAGTAAATGTGTGTACGTTTGAGTTCGATTGTTGCTATTGTTTCCTTTACTTTACGTGTTGTTCTTCTTTTTCTTTCTTTAAGTGAAGAGTGATTCAGATTTAATTGCTTACTGATGAAAGATTCAGGTTTTCGGTTTTTGGATTTGGATTTTGTTGGGGTCTTTTGTTCTTTTTTCCTCTTATTTCACGGAAGTGAATGGCTAAGTGGTATTTACTTGGAGTTTGGATTTGCAGTACATATTATGGTTAGTTAACATTTTTTCCTTTTATTTTTACATGTTATGATAGTTTCTGTTTGTATTGCCAATTGGATTTGTAGGGTTCGTGGGTAAATATCACCCTATCATTCTGGAGTTTTTAACCGTTGGATCAACATATACTCTACGAATGAGCGTAAATATGTGTGACCCGACATATAAAAATTGATGTTAGACAATAAAATTATCCTTTTCCCACCATTTTTGTGAGTGTATGCAAACAACACTAAAATATCTATTTGCTCATAAAATTTGATTTGATGAAATGGGGCTCCTTATGATGTTCCTTCTTTCCTTTTCATTTCACCAAACTTTAGTTTGACCATCAGGTTCATCACAAGAGTTTATTGAACATTGAAGTTGATTTATGGTGCATTAAACCTTGACTAATACCAAGTCAAAATGGGTTCATTGGACCTTGATAAATGACTTGAGGAGCAGAGGAGGTGCACTGAGCCTTGACTGAATACCTCTTTTTTTGATTCCTCATGTGTATATGGATGTAATGTTTCATGTATGGGGAAATGGAAGTATAAAATGATCTCTTCAACTAAATAACAAAGTATAAATATATTTCTAATAAACAATATCTCATAACATAGAATTTTTTACGGCAAAAAAAAA